TTAAAGCCAAAAAGATCTATTGAAGTGGTAATTTTATAAGTTCAGTTTTGCCTAACCGGAAATATCAAATCTACACTGAGAAGGTAGATAATTATTGTTAAAGAACTATTACTTTTGGCATAGTCTTTGCTAAAATTTCTTTTCAGGGTGACAGAAATACCCATAAATAAAAAAGTAATAAACATTTCCCACAAATAAATAATTACAGGCAATATCATACACGTGTATCTATTACATAAAATTATTTTAATTATGTACCAATGGAATCGAGCCTATCCCGTGGCTGCCTCATTGCTATGCAGCCTGGCGTTTTCCCCCCGTTCCTTATCAGAAAGTAAAAGTCACTATTTCATCAAATAAAATGTTCCAGTGAGTACGCGACAGTGTTCCTAATTAGGTACCAGACGAATAATTACTGAAACAGGAGACCACGCCGCGGCATTTGAACTTTTACTTTTGCGCCACGGTTACGTAATCCGGTGTACGGGAAGCGTCGGGTAAACAAAATCATAAAATTGACCTCCGAAATAACAAACAGTATCTAAGTGTTATGTTATGTACTTAGCGCACTTACAATTCGGTGTAATAGATTCGTGGAGTAACCTCCGTGGTCTACAAGCGAAGCTGAGCGCGGATTATCGACAGTGGCGTGCGTTCGAGAGGAGCCCAAATAATATTTTTATATAATAGTAGGTTCTGAAAGATGAGAATTCGAGATTTTCAACTAATATTCGATTTTTTTTTCGTGTCTTGTGAAAATATGTTAATTTATCATCTTTTAAAAGCCCTCTCAGAAAATCAGCTCAAAAAAAATTTTTTTAGAGCTCGCTTAAGATTTTGAAAAATTTCCAAAATCGTCAAAAATTGATTTTTTTAAAAAAATTTTTCTCATTATTTTATCATTTTCTAAGTTGAAAAAAATCTCGATTCTGAAAATTTCAGATCGATATTTTAATTTCTAACTTTCAAAGTAGTGTACACCTGTTTTCGAGCGACCTCTAAAAATAAATATCAACGAACCAATATTTTTTTTATTGAATTTGATGAACAAAAGAATAGAAATGAATCACGAGACTTAAATTTTAAAAAATTATAAATATTTGATACTCACAGTGCGGTATTAAATTTTGCCTCGAGAAATTTTTCAAGTACCGTGATTTATTTCTATTCTTTTGTTCATCAAATTCAATAAAAAATATTATTAGTTTGTTAATATTTATTTTTAAATGTCGTTCGGAAACATTTTAGGTGAACTATTTTTAAAGTTAAAATAATTATGAGTGACCTTTACAAATTAAAATATCGACTTGAAATTTTCAGAATCGAGATTTTTTTCAACCTAGAAAATGATAAAATAACGAGAAAAAAAATTTAATTTTTGACGATATTGGACATTTTTAAAAATCTCGAGCGACCTCTAAAAAATTTTTTTTGAGCTGATATTTAGAGAGGGCTCTTAAAACATGATAAACTAACATATTTTCTCAAGAGACAGAAAAAAAAATTCGTTTTTTTTGGGCCACCCTATTATTTATATCGACTGGGGTAAAATTTTCCGAGAAATCGAATGATATATGTAATTAGTTTTGAAAAAAAGTTAATTTGTTTCTAAAAAATGCGATTGAAAAAAACCGGTGGTGCTAATTCGCACTAGTGTGAAAATACTGGATCACAATAGAAATAAAAGATTTTAAAGGAGACTCGTCATTTAATATTTTGAAAACCAAGTTTTATTGAAGGATAATCTGTATTATACTAGCAATTTTTCTTATTAGTGTGACAATATCATTGCCAAGCTTAATAAAAAAAAATTTGCTACAACAATTTTACAAATTAAAAACTTTAGTAAAATATTTTTATTATGACAGCACCGTAACATCTCTGGACCTTTTTAAAGCAGATATTTTGTTAAGCACTTAAAGATAATCGATTTCTATTTATGGGTAAAAAGTATTTCCCTCAGTATATATTTCTTTAAATACATTTCTAATAATTTAACTTCTGTATAGAACAGCATCCAACTCACAACTGCATTTTCTCGGTATTCTAATGGGTCCTTTTTAACTTCTACAATTTAAATTTCCACATTCTAGCTGGTGTTAATTAACACCGCATCCCGTGCTATTTTAAATATTTAATTAACCAAACCTACATGCACAACGTAAGCCGGGGCATATTATATCTACTTAATCTAATTAAATTTCACATTTACTAACCAGAGCAGCTGCCTGTTGGAGGAATATGAGGAAAAGCACGCTGCGAAGAAAACGGCTATGCAAAATACACACGATAGTCTCTACCATTCTGCACTGAATATTATTAACGTTTTTCCTCTAATAATAATTTCAAGGGAACCGTACCAAGTGATTTTCCTAGTGTTTTAAAATTTTAAATGAAAAGTAAATTGCGTTATAGTCTTTCGGATCTCAGTTAAAGAACCAAGAGGTTGGCGGTATGTACCAGGTTCCGTCGCTGACCCAGCAACTCGGCATTGAAATATTTAAAAAACTTGTTCCCATATTTATTTAGCCATACCCATATTCAGGTCTAGTCGAACTAAACGTGGAAGGGGTAGAAATGTGTACGTCCAGTTGAAAAAGCGCGCGGGCAAACGGCGTATAACAGCCGCACTGGGCGACTGGGCAATAAATCTCAGTTGTTGACAAGTTGTTGACAAATTGCCTAGCAGTGCAGTGCAGCAATGCGGAATTTGGAGTGATTCAAGTAATTTTCACTTATTATAGGCATCTTCTATTAATCATTCATATTACAATTGCGAAAGGGGGATATTTTATTCACTTATTATTACAACATGGCATTTTGGAGACCTTTTGAAACGGATCAAAACGAAATTTACCGTACATATAATAAAATTGTTTGAGGGACATAAATAATAAAAATATGTTGTTAGCCAAATGAACATATAACAGAAATTTTCTACAGGTTATATACAAATTATTATATTTTTTTACCTTTAGCAGAAAGCTTTTTTAGGGACGCCTACGAAACTCATTACATTTTATTGCTAGGCGTTTTTATACAGGTCCAACTGACTTCGGAAAGACTATACTAGAGATATGCAAAATGTATTCATATTTATTTCAGAGTGCCCCCCGTCATACTTTTCTTTCCTTACGTAATATCTTGTATACTTTGATATAACATTTGCACCGAACTATTACGGAAATATTTAGCAATTCATTAAATTTGTGAGTATGACTATGTACATTACACAAACGTGTCGTAAAACTCGCAAATTAGTAGCATTTCATACCGCATTTTTTCCGCTCAAGGCTAATTTTATACTTATCTGAAAAAGTTGTAACCTTAGCGTGTTGAGCAAATATTTGAAAAAATTTCACAATTTGAAATTATCATAACCTCGAAATTGAAAGGTTAGATACAGAAATAATATTTAATAGATCTTCGGTTTTCTATGAATTCGTAGGGTACAGGATGTTTTTCAACACCACGTCCCAGGCTTTGTTGATTTCAATCAAACAGGCCTAGGAAAATGATTTTGATAATCAAGGCGGCAATAATAAGGCAATAATCAAATGTGGTATCGTACATTTTATCGATGTAACTATAGGATCTAAAGTTTCATTTGTCCTGTGAAGTCTACAATCTGTTTAATATAATAGGGGTATCATATCGGTTAAAAGTTATTTTAATGTTTATGATTGTATTTGCATAAGATCAAAATGCAAATTATAATAACACATTAATTGGAACTTCAGGAAAAACAACTTGAATATCTTCAAACTGGCATACATGCCCTCAAAAATACACAAATATTTTTCAAACTCAAAAAGTTCTCAATACAAGCCGGTTTACATATCAGTTCGATGACCTACATCAGTTAAGAGAGAGCCTGTCGACCTTGACAGTAGCTTAAAATAGTTTACTGCATCTTTTAGCTGAAAAGAGGAACTAATGTATCTGCGACAAAAGAAAAAATATCATATTTTTGATAAGATAAGGTAATAATCTAATACTCGTCTTACGAAAAAGAATGTAACCCTAAATGGTTTTAAAAAGTTGTGTTCGAAAATATCTAGTCTCTAACAGCTTACTTTAAACAAACTCTAGAAATACAATACGGTGTTCTAGTTATTGAAAATATAGGCAGAACATTCTATCCTTAAAAAAAAAGGATATAAATATTGTTATGGATTCAAGCCAAATAACAGAGAAATTTGAATGTGTGTGGGATGCTTAAGGGACGCTAATATTATATTATACTCTAAAAATTTCAGTCCCTTTGCAATCTAAAAGGGCCCTAGGCAATTTCGTACTTATAAAGAATTAACTATAGTTTCCTTGACATTTCATTTTCACAGGTACCCGATATACATTGTACAAACGTTGCGTAATAACAGGTAGAAACTGTTATTGTATAGATATCAATCGATTTTAATTAACTGTGCCCAATTACGTCCATTTATATCTTACAGGCTCGTATATGGAATAAATTTTTAATGACTGAAATGGAAGGAAGGAGGAAATACGCATTATTAAGAACATAAACGTGCCATAATGTCGAGAAAGAATTACAAAAAATAGAACGAACCATATGGGGTTACATATTAGTCACCACAGTTTAATTAGTTATATCAATTAAGTGCGACAGACAGACGTATTTCAAAACAGAGACGAATTCATAGACGAAGTAAGTATAAACGAAAAATACATATTTCCACGTGTTAATAATTAACATAAAGGAATGTAAATAACAATATAAATAAATAATCGAGACTTGAACACTGGCGCCTGCTAAATTCAGTAGCGTCCCTCTGAAATCGATATGGAAGTAAATTGGGGATTTTATTGTTAGCCCTAAAACCCATATAAAGATATGACGGTTAAACTATTAGGTATATTATTCCCGTGGGAATTACAAATTAGGAATATATGCAGCAAGGAGTTTGGACAGCAATCGCATGCCTGGCAAAAACATTCACACAACGACGAACGGTAGAAAAATTGAGAAACTTTACCTTGTGATATGTGTCCTTCTGCCATTGCTTGATCTTGTTCAAGACGTCATTGGCCAAATTATCCCTAATTTTGGAATGCAGATCGCACCTCCTGTCGGCCTCCACCAAGACGCCTTTCCAGGCGGCCTCCGTGGTACCGTACTCGGGCCCCTTTTCAATGGAGTCGTTCCATTTCTTCGACCACGCCTTCAGCGCCTTGGCGTAATTCTTCTCGATGTCCGCCCGCTCGTTCACGAGCGTCATCAGCTCCTGGCACAGCTTGTAGCCATCCTCGATGCGCTTCGTAGTCTTCTTGTAGTTGCTGGGCTCCCAGAAGGAGTCGCTCGTGGCTATGAGCATGTTGTCATCGCTGTGGTGGGACATCGTCAACCCGCCACACCTGGAAAAGACGCAACCGGGTCACCAAGAAGATAAAATAAATATCTGACATAGTAAAAAAAAAACATAACGTACGTTGCTTTCGAATAAGCGGGCATATATGCACTAATATGCAGAGTTATCTGAAAATCTTCGGTTTAATAGAGATTTAATTCGGGGAAAGCAATGAATTGAAGAATCTCCAAATAGAAAACTATTTTTTAAATATTTTTCCAAATATATTTTGCTGGTGTATGCCTCAATATATCAACAAAATAATCAGTGCAAAAATTACTTTATTTTTTGCCACTTAGTACCTACAATACACCGTTGATAATATAAATAAAAATTAATCTTTGTCGAAAAATATGCTTCATTGCCTTTGCGACAGATTGTTTTGTTCAAGTGATGTTGTAAGCGCGAACATTTGAAGTTCTTTGAAAATGTAGGTTTTCCTGTTACCACAACCGGAATGTTTTGATTGGTAGGAAAATTTAACATCAGAATGTAATAAAGTGCAATAATCCATTCGATTATATGCCCATTACGAAGGAGGTCGATAATCCGAGAGGTTCAACAGAGCTATTTCAAGGTCAGTACGATATCACTTATCCTTATTTAATACACGACATTCTCTTCATAAAACTAATCCTTTGCGGCAAATGTAACCACCACAAGAATTTAACATTCGTTGAGATATAAAATCTACTTTCAAGACTACAGCAAATATGAAAAATCAGGTATAAAATAGGTCTGTATGCCGAAAAATTGCAAGAGAAACAATATTCAGTCACATTGGTCTCTAAATACTTTTTCTGAAAAAACTGGCTGTCTTTCTAATTCAAAGTATGTATTCATGTTTCATAAACACTACTTTTAAAATTCTATGGACCTTCAAGCAACAAAAGTGCGAAAGTTTAAAATTACAGCTAATTGTATTTGGCAGCAATACCATCAACTTTGCTGTATAAACAGTACTAATGAAACTTCATCAGTATATCGAGACTCCGTCAATATTTACCCTCATGAGGTCAGTAATTAAATTGTGTAACTAAAAACCCGCATTAATGCCCACTAGTGAAGCCGGAATTGAGACGACCTTTAATATATCGATTCAAAAAGTGGTTCATGAATTATTTGTTTGTTCAAGGCTAAATTTAGTGGCGTCTGAAATGAGGATTACTGTTTACAAGGCCTGTTGGTATTGAGCGGGTGTTTGCCACTGTTTTACTCTTCCTTTTCAAACCCATCTTATTCAACTTAGACTAAACAGGCCCAGTTAACAATCGGTTCAATATAACAATCAACTGTAAGTATGCATAAATTGTTGAAGGAAATATTCCATCGTTTGTTAACAAAAACTAAATTATTCTTTATTTGAAATCATAGCATTCTGGTTTATTTCAATTCGACGAGAATAACAGCAAAACTGGTTTTAGGAAAAGATATCTAGGCAATCTTTAATGGCCGATGTTAATCCATGAGATACTAGGAACTCGGTAGGATTTCATGGATATGTTAACACAACATAAAACAAATTGATTTTTTTAATTTAATCAATTAGCATTCCTTTCATTTTTAGTAAACACTCAAATGTTCTGTAACCTAATTTTTTTATAAATTACTCTCTTGATTAATTTTGCCCATATTCAGTCCTCTCATGTATCTTACTGTTCGTGAATCGATTCCTCAGTGTTAACTTTTTGATTAATTTTTATTTTTGTACACATAACTGTAATATACATAAATCCGCATCGACGGACCACTCGAATCTATAAATATTTATTTACGGAAGGAGGTCAGCGCATTAAAATTTTAAATTTCGCCCGAGCAAAAAAATCGCTTTACAATTAAACAGTTCGGTGAAAACAACCCAGATGTAAATACTGTCACTTTATGTGTATTTCATTTCGTTAATACCACTAAGAAGTAATGCCAGTATTAAGTATTGGTATTTTCATACAGAGACAATGACCTTGGACGTTAATTGCTGTTTACGGTCTAGGGAGTCCAGTAGCGTGTGGTAAATTCTAGTTCGTGGGGTGAGAAGTGTACACGACGGAGGTAAATCGTTTTAAGAAAGCACACAAAGTGGATAAATGACAAAGAAATCGGTTAGACACTGAGCATTAAAGCTAATACTGTTAAAATAAGGAGTTTTACATGCATCTAAGAATCAGATGTATTTTTGTTGAAAAACGATACATTGTAACGAAATTTGGTACAAGTAAGTTTCTTAGATTCGTGATTACGTCAATGTCAAAGTTTTTGGGCAGTTTTTATTCATTATTAATAAAATAGTGTTCTTCTAGTCCTCAAATGAAAAATTTTATATCGAATTCTGTATTTTCGAAAAGAAATTGGTTGGCTTTAGTTAAATACAGTTTTCTACAAAATTGAGTATTTTTAGGAAAAAAAATTTTGCATTATAGATTTGTAATATATTGATGGTCACGTGGGATTGAAGATTCGATTTATGTTTCTTGAATTAATCATATCTCTGCAAATGCCAGAAATTATTTATTATTGTCGCCGCTTATATTCGTGTGTACGAACTGGATCGATGAAAAAAGGTTTATTTGTCAAATAATCCCACGCATACGTGGGTGTAATCACAGATACAGTTACTGAAAATCATTTCGCGGTAATAAACAACACAGTTATTTTATCGAAAACAGATATCGAAATGGGTTAATATCAGCTAAAGAATCGCTGTTATTAATAAACATACTTTAGTCGACTGTATGTATCATCATATGATTTTCTCTCTCTCTCTCCGCAAAACCTATTCACTGTTATTGTCAACCAACAAATAACAAAGAGGTATTCATTATCTTGTACGTACTTCAACTTCCCGAACTTTTCAAAGCGACGCGGGCTTTTATATAGAACCAATTTCCATTCTTCAAATTCCGGACGTTTCGCTTACCAACTAGGTCAAGAGTTTTCCGATTGAAAAAGCAACAATCGATGCATATACACTGTTTAGATATCGCTTTAAAAATAACGCGATCACGGTTTACGTTTTGAACCAGTGATTAAAAATAGCTTCTGTTTGGATAAATAAAATATCGTTTAGTGTTTGGTGCAACGTCGGATGTATTAGTAGAGAACATCACATTCGGGTGCTGGAAGATCGGCGAAACAGATGGGATTCCCATAGTGGATACAACACAGACGTCCCAGACACGGAAAACGACCTTGTGCATTTAGTCTATGATAATCAAGTGGTTTTGACTCACTGATTGCTATATTATTAAAATTTGTTATTGCATTCCATATACATGATGACCAGAAAAGACAACGACCTTCAGAATTTGGGTATACATCAATGTTATAACAAAAGTATTGGACAACCCCTTTATGAATTCATGTCGACCTTGGGTCACTATCTAACGCCCTTTACAAATGTAAGGAATGTTGCCATCTGTCTACCTGGGGAAAACAAAGTGAATCTTATAAAAACGAAATTCAACAGCCACCATATGGACGTGTATTTCTCACGATCCCAGCTGTTTCCTACGGCTTTGCAAAAGGTGTCTTACGCTTACGAATGCCACGCGACTTCTATTATGCGAAATACTTTCTAAATCCGTCAATGAGGCTCCAAATAAAGACAACTGCAACTGATGCAACGGAAGAACCGTTCTTGTTAAAATTACTAAAACCACTGAAAGGATAGTCCGGAGGAAGAAAATAAGCTCGACAAAAATTAATGGTTTAAATAATAACTTGTCCTAGCGGTGGCTGAAACAAATAGTGTTATTATCATCAACAATATACCTCTTTAGTAGTGACGTCACATACGACAAATAATAGGCAACTCCATAATACACATTGTCATGAAGAATTTCCCAATATTTTTACTAGATCGATTTTTAAATGTACTTTAGACATAAGTGTCAGAAAAATGTCTTATTTGTCATGACCTTAAATATGGCGATTCTCTGGCAATATTAGAAATATTTCAGAAGTTTCAAACCACAAGTGACAAACTAAAAGAATTATAGAATTTAAATTTATAGAACAATATTGACTTTTATACTAATTAATAAATTAAAATTACATGAATGTCACTGAGCATGCGCATTAAAGATAATTTCATGTAATCGAAGTAGCCTCCTATCATTCAGGAAAAGTTTGGTTATGGTTAATAGTAATAAAGCACTTGAAGAAAAAAACACTCGATAAACACACTGATACAGCACCACACCAAGAAAAACAATAAAAATACTTAGTAGAACTAGAAAACGCCAAGATTAAACAGAAGAGAAAATACGCTAATGGTGACAGCGATGACATATAACAAGATCTCACCTGCATATGAGGCTATTCTTTCTGAGCATGCGCATTAGGAATAACACGGCTAATGTTAAATTTTTACTTTATTTAAATTTATGAATATTCTTTTATATCGTTTTTTGTAAGTTTTAAGCACATTAGTGTATCTATTTTACCAAACACGTATTGGTTGTTCTTAAATACTCCTAAATCCTTATAAAAATAAATTCATTTGAAGCTCTTCATTTTTATAGTATCTATGTAAATAGTACACAAGGGTCAGATTCGGTCTGTACAGTTTCAACTACCTATGACAATTTGTTGCGGATTGCCTAAACATGTGACGTCACACTAAAAGAGTATTAGTGTGTCTTTCAATTAATAACGTTGAAGAAAGTGCCACCACAATTTTTGTTTTTAGTGCTTATCGTTTGCTTTTAGCTTAATATTTCTACTCTGACATTATCTATAATTTTCACCTTAGCATACAATGATGTAGGTTTGATAATAAAGACAAACATATTTCCAGTATAAACTGCTTATGGTCCCTTTTAAAGTAATGTTTTATGAATTTTACGTCGGAAACTTTAAAGACAAACAACAATGTAATAATATTGGTATATTTCAAGGTTACCCCTATATATTTTATATTGCGTGGATATTTGCTGTTATCATTACTGTATGTGTGCTGACAAAATACTTTACTTTAAAAAAAATTGTAGATATAATTAAAAATGAACC